CCTCAGGCCAGGCACTGCCATGCACACAAAGGGGTTGCCGTGTCCCTACAGGAGCCTTGGCAGGACAGCACAGGGTCCCCAGGAGGTGGAGGCTAGCCCCGAAGCCAGGCTGCCCCCCCACTCTCCCCCAGGGAGAACAAGGCCTGTTGAAAGCAAACACAAGGAGGCTGGGCCCTGCCAGGTATTCCTAGAAGAGAGGCTAGTGGAGGGGCAGTGGCCAGACACCAGCTGACCCTGAGGTCACAGGAGAAGCCAATGCTGGGCTGGGCGACCCCACCCAGGCTGTTAGGAAATGCGGAGGGGGGCGGGGAGAAAGTGGGTAGTGTGCCAGCACAGATGGGCAGGCCCATTGGGAAATGTGGTGGTTCCCACTTAACCCCCACATGCCATCTGCTAGGTGGGGGGACCCCAGGAGCAGCCCAAGGAGGCTGACCATGGGTAGGGGGCCTGCCGAACACGGCAGCAGGGGTATGGGTCCACTGGCCCTGAGCCCGCAGTGCTGTACCACGGCCCCCGCACCCCCCAGCCTCTCCCCTGTGTGGTCTACACCCCAGGCAGCTGGCCTCCTGACAGGAGGGGGTTAACGGAGCCCAGGGCCAGCAGGGCTGGGTTGGCTGGTGACAGGGCGCTGGCTGTCCCGGAGGTGGGGAAATCCAGAGGGCAGGAACAGCCGGCCCCCAGCAGACCGGAGGCTCCTGTCCGCTGGAGCCTGCTCTGCATGCGGGATGGCCCTGAGGAAAGGTGAGGCTCCCTGGGCCCCCAAGCCCACTGGGGCAGGGGCACCCCCGGGGAGGGCTCAGCTCTGGGGAGGCCAGAGCCTTTGGGAGCCCATGGGGGAATGGCAGTGCAGGGATATTGGGGGGTGCAGCTGCGCCGGCCCCAGAGGATCTCCTTTTCCTCCTCCTGCCCAAGCACCCAGGACAGTGGCACAAGGGACACAGGGTGTGCATCTAACAACCCCACCCAGGCGCCTTGCCCTAAACCCTCTGCAAGGCGAGGGCCTGCTGCCCTCCCAGCCACTTGGAGGCCAAGCCGCTGCCATCTTGTCCATCTCAGGGCCTGGCCCCATTCAGCTGGGTGTGGGGCACCCTCCGGCACAGCCTCTGCCCCATCCCGAGACCCCCCCCCCCCACCCTCCAGGGGCATCTGCCAGACCACGGTGCCTGCCAAGGGCCCCCCTGAGCGCAGACCCCCCCCCCCGAGTTCTCCAAGGCCAGGGATGGGCCAGTTGGGGGGTCAGCCCAGTGCTCAGCAGTGGTTTGGGGACACTGTTGTTAGAGAGCCTGGCGCCCTTTGTCCCAAGACACAACCTGACACTGGTGAGTTGAATCTTGAGTCGATGGTCTAGGGTTCCTGGCTGCTCCTGAGACCTGCGCGCTGTTCCTTTGCCCATATGGGTGCTGGGCCAAGTCCCAGGGTGCCGGCCACACTTACCTGGTTCACTGTCCGGCCCCGAAGGGCGACAAGTGTACACACCCCCAGGCCTGCTCTGGAATATTCTCTCACTCGTGCCTTCCTCTAGGCCTGCCTGGCAGCCTGGCGCGGCTCAAATGTTCCCCTTGGGGACGCAGATGGACACAGGGCCTAATCGGCAGGTACCTAGCCCTCAGTTTTCTCTGGAACAGGCATCGCCAGCCACCCTGTCAGTCCTAGGATGGTTTTGAGCTGGAGAACGTCTCAGTTGACCTGCCTGCTTTCTGCTTCCGATTTAAGTGAGGTGACCGCATAGCATAGCTCACACCTTTTTCCAATCTGATTAGTAGCACCTCTTCTTATAGCCAAGTACTGCAATCTGGGTGCTAAGTTCTGTGGTGGCCCACGTGTGTGGGCTGAGGCCTGGAAGATTCCATGTCTCAATGACCCTAGGGCTCGCATCCTGGGCCCCTCAGTGCCGCCTCTCCCCAAACCCCTCTCTCCGCAGAAGACCTGGCCCTGGCAGTGCTGCTGATCTCCTGGGCAGCACTGGGCCCCTGTGGCCTGGAGGGAGCAGAGCCCCGAGGGCCAGAGGACGCTGAGGGCCTGCAGTGCCCAGCCGTCTGCACCTGCGGACACGATGACTACACGGACGAGCTTAGCGTCTTCTGCAGCTCCCGGAACCTCACCCGGCTGCCCGATGGCATCCCGGACGGTGCCAGGGCCCTGTGGCTGGACGGCAACAACTTCTCCTCCATCCCCGAGGCGGCCTTCCGGAACCTCTCCAGCCTGGGCTTCCTCAACCTGCAGGGCAGTGGGCTGGCCAGCCTGGAGCCGAAGGCGCTGCTGGGCCTGCAGAACCTGTACCACTTGCACCTGGAGCGGAACCAGCTGCGTGGCCTGGCGGCCCGCACCTTCCTACACACGCCAGGCCTGGCGTCACTCGGCCTCAACAATAACCTCCTTAGCAGGGTGGACGAGGGCCTCTTCCAGGGCCTGGCCAACCTCTGGGACCTCAACCTTGGCTGGAACAGCCTGGCCGTGCTTCCCGACACCGCATTCCAGGGCCTGGCCAACCTGCACGAGCTGGTGCTGGCGGGCAACAAGCTGGCCTACCTGCAGCCCCCACTCTTCTGCGGGCTCAGTGAGCTGCGGGAGCTGGACCTCAGCAGGAACACCCTGCGGAGCGTCAAGTCCAATGTCTTCGTCAAGCTGCCCAAGCTCCAGAAGCTCTACCTGGACCACAACCTCATCACCGCCGTGGCCCCGGGCGCCTTCCTGGGCATGAAGGCGCTGCGCTGGCTGGACCTGTCATACAACCGCGTGGGTGGCCTCCTGGAAGACACCTTCCCCGGCCTGCTGGGCCTGCACGTACTACGCCTCTCACACAATGCCATTGCCGGCCTGAGGCCGCGGACCTTCAAGGACCTGCACTTCCTGGAGGAGCTGCGGCTGGGCCACAATCGCCTCCGGCAGCTGCCGGACAAGGCCTTTGAAGGTCTGGGCCAGCTGGAGGTGCTCATGCTCAACGACAACCAGATCCAGGAGGTCAAGGTGGGGGCCTTCCTTGGCCTCCTGAACGTGGCCGTCATGAACCTCTCCGGCAACTGTCTGCGAAACCTTCCAGAGCGAGTGTTCCAGGGCCTGGCCAAGCTGCACAGCCTGCACCTGGAGGGCAGCTGCCTGGGCCGCGTCCGCCAGCACACCTTCGCTGGCCTCTCGGGGCTGCGCCGGCTCTTCCTCAAGGGCAGTGGCATCACGACCATCGAGGAGCAGAGCCTACGGGGGCTCCCCGAGCTCCTGGAGCTGGACCTGACCTCCAACCAGCTCACTCAGCTGCCCAGCCAGCTCTTCCAGGGCCTCGGCAAGCTGGAGTACCTGCTCTTGTCCCGCAACCGGTTGACGACACTGTCAGCAGACACCCTGGGGCCCCTGCAGCGTGCCTTCTGGCTGGACGTCTCCCACAACCTCCTGGAGGCCCTGCCCGAGGCCGTGCTCTTGCCTCTGGGGCGGCTGCGCTACCTCAGCCTCAGGAACAACTCCTTGCGGACCTTCGTGCCACAGCTGCCTGGCCTGGAGTACCTGTGGCTGGAGGGCAACCCCTGGCACTGTGGCTGCCCCCTCCGGACCCTGCGGGCCTTCACCCTGCAGCACCCCACCGTTGTGCCCCGTTTCGTCCAGGCCGTCGTGGAGGGGGACGACTGCCAGCCACCCGTGTACACCTACAACAACATCACCTGCGCCAGCCCCCCTAGCATCGTGGGACTCGACCTGCGTGATGTCAGCGAGGACCACTTTGCTCACTGCTGACCTGAGGCTCATCCCAGCCAGATACCACCCTGGGGTTGGAACAGGCCCTTGACCCCCAGGAGCCCAGGGGGTGCCCTGCCCCATCAGCTCTCAGGGGCCAGGCCCCAGGCTGCTCACTTGCTGGGATCCCTTCCCCGGGAGACACACAGTTCCAGGGCTTTGCTGGCGTGGGCTCAGGGCCTGTGGGCCCCAGCCTGGTCCCTAAGGCCCAAATCAGGATGGGGGCACAGCCCTCCCCAGCTGTCATCCATTAAAAGCAGTTCTAATAACCACCACCTGTGACCACAGAGATGCACCTTGGGGGAGGGGAGGGAAGCGTCAGCCTGGGTACCTGCAGACCCACCTCCTCAGCCAGCTCGGCCCACACCCGCTCTGGCCGCTTCAGGCCCACACAACCTTCCAGTTCCCTTCCTGTGCTTGGACTCCCACCCCGGCCCTCCCAGGACGCCCGCCTCCACCTGAGGGATGGAGAGCACTTACTCAGGTCCTCTTTGGGCAGCGTTCTTGGAGGTGGCCTGGTCCTGGGAAGCTGGAGCGCAGCAGAGGCGGCCGCTGCTCCAAAGGCCGAGCAGTGTCACCCAGGGCCAGCACGGGTGTCAGTCCTCTCCAGGATCGTGTTCTAGCCCGAAACCCTCAAAGGTGCTTCCTTCTCCCCAACCCCCCC